TGTCTGAATGTCATGGCATCTGCGGGCTGAGACTGGTGACAAGTTGTCACCAAATACATTGCCATCCCCTGAGACACCAGCCAAGCCTACCATCTTGTAGCTCAGCCTGAATAATGATGTTGGCACCATTCTGGTGTAATATAGGCACCTACAGGGCCTGCTGTAGGAGTGTCTGAATGTCATGGCATCTGCGGGCTGAGACTGGTGACAAGTTGTCACCAAATACATTGCCATCCCCTGAGACACCAGCCAAGCCTACCATCTTGTATCGCAGCCTGAAAAATGATGTTGGCACCATTCTGGTGTAATATGGGCACCTACAGGGCCTGCTGTAGGTGTGTTTGAATGTCATGGCATCTGCGACTGAGACTGGTGACAAGTCGTCACCAAATACATTGCCATCCCCTGAGACACCAGCCAAGCCTACCATCTTGTAGCTCAGCCTCCAAAATGATGGTGGCACCATTCTGGTGTAAGTTGGGCATCTACAGGGCCTGCTGTAGGTGTGTCTGAATGTCATGGCATCTGCGGGCTGAGACTGGTGACGAGTTGTCACCAAATACATTGCCATCCCCTGAGACACCAGCCGAGCCTACCATCTTGTAGCGCAGCCTGAATAATGATGTTGGCACCATTCTGGTGTAATATGGGCACCTACAGGGCCTGCTGTAGATGTGTCTGAATGTCATGGCATCTGCGGGCTGAGACTGGTGACAAGTTGTCACCAAATACATTGCCATCCCCTGAGACACCAGCCAAGCCTACCATCTTGTAGCGCAGCCGGATTAATGATGTTGGCACCATTCTGGTGTAATTTGGGCACCTACAGGGCCTGCTGTAGGAGTGTCTGAATGTCATGGCATCTGCGGGCTGAGACTGGTGACAAGTTGTCGCCAAATACATTGCCATCCCCTGAGACACCAGCCAAGCCTACCATCTTGTATCGCAGCCTGAATAATGATGTTGGCACCATTCTGGTGTAATTTGGGCACCTACAGGGCCCGCTGTAGGTGTGTCTGAATGTCATGGCATCTGCGGGCTGAGACTGGTGACAAGTTGTCACCAAATACATTGCCATCCCCTGAGACACCAGCCAAGCCTACCATCTTGTAGCGCAGCCTGAATAATAATGTTGTCACCATTCTGGTGTAATATAGGCACCTACAGGGCCTGCTGTAGGAGTGTCTGAATGTCATGGCATCTGCGGGCTGAGACTGGTGACAAGTTGTCACCAAATACATTGCCATCCCCTGAGACACCAGCCAAGCCTACCATCTTGTAGCGCAGCCGGATTAATGATGTCGGCACCATTCTGGTGTAATTTGGGCACCTACAGGGCCTGCTGTAGGAGTGTCTGAATGTCATGGCATCTGCGGGCTGAGACTGGTGACAAGTTGTCGCCAAATACATTGCCATCCCCTGAGACACCAGCCAAGCCTACCATCTTGTAGCGCAGCCTAAATAATGATGTTGGCACCATTCTGGTGTAATTTGGGCACCTACAGGGCCTGCTGTAGGTGTGTCTGAATGTCATGGCATCTGCGGGCTGAGACTGGTGACAAGTTGTCACCAAATACATCGCCATCTCCTGAGACACCAGCCAAACCTACCATCTTGTAGCACAGCCTGAGTAATGATGTTGGCACCATTCTGGTGTATCTTTGGCTCCTACAGGGCCTGTTGTAGGAGTGTCTGAATGTCATGGCATCTGCGGGCTGAGACTGGTGACAAGTTGTCACCAAATACATTGCCATCCCCTGAGACACCAGCCAAGCTTACCATCTTGTAGCGCAGCCTGAATAATGATGTTGGCACCATTCTGGTGTAATATGGGCACCTACAGGGCCTGCTGTAGGTGTGTTTGAATGTCATGGCATCTGCGGGCTGAGACTGGTGACAAGTTGTCACCAAATACATTGCCATCCCCTGAGACACAAGCCAAGCTTACCATCTTGTAGCGCAGCCTGAGTAATGATGTTGGCACCATTCTGATGTGATTTGGGTGCATACCTGGCATGTTTTAGAAGCAATTGAATGGCAAGGCATATGCGGGCTAAACCTGGTGACAACTTGTCACCAATTGCATTGCAGTCTACTAGGGCACCCACCAGGCATACCACTTTTTAGCGCAGACTGAATAATTAGGTTGGCACCATTCTGGCATGATTTGGGTGCATACATGGCATGTTTTAGAAGCAATTGAATGTCAGGGCATCTGTGGGCTGAGACTGGTGGGAAGTTCTCACCAGTCCAATTGCAGTCTACAAGGGCACCCACCAGGCATACCATCTTGTAGCGCAGACTGAATAATGATGTTGGCGCCAATTCTGGTGTGATTTGGGTGTATACCTGGCATGTTTGATGGGCAATTGAATGTCAAGGCATCTGCTGGCTGAGACTGGTGACACCTTGTCACCAATCACATTGCAGAGTAAAAGGGCGCCCACCAGGCATACCATCTTGTAGCATAGACTGAATAGTGATGATGGCAAATAAGGGTTTCATTACCATTCTGGCTTGATTTGGGCATACACATGGCTCAAGGTATGGGCATTTGAAAGGCATGGCAGCTGCTGGCTGAGACTGGTGACAAGTTATTACCATCACATTGCATTCCACTGAGACACCAGCCAGTCATCTTTTCTTGTAGCGCACCTGAAAATGAGGATGTTAGCGTATTCTGGCTTGATTTGGGCATACACATGGCTCAAGCAATGGGCATTTGAAAGGCATGGGAGCACAATGGCTGAGACTGGTGACCAGTTATCACCAATCACATTGCAGTCCACCAAGGCACCAGCCAGTCAGCTTATCTTGTTGCGCATTTTGAATATGGATGCTGGCACCAATCTGGCTTGATTTGGGCGTACACATGGGTCAAGGTATGGGCATTTGAAAGGCATGGCAGCTGCTGGCTGAGACTGGTGAGAAGTTGCACCGTACTTCTGCAATTTGGGTGTTAACATGGCTTGATGTGACCCAGCATAATGAAGCTTACTGTCTCCTATGGGACAAACCAGAGCTAGCAGAATGCCTGCTCCTTCATCCAGAGTTTGATGAGCAAGGGAGATATCCCCTGTCATATTCAACCATTGCCGAGTATCAACAAGAAGATGCAGCGCTAATGGCCACAGTCCAAAATCAAGAAGCGACAAACATACAATACAAACAACTTGGAGACGTTCAGATTGTTGTATTCCAAGCAGATGCACGCTGGCGAATCTGCATCCCCATTGAGATCCTAGATTGTGTGATGGCAAATCTACATCCCCATTGAGATTCTAGATCGTTGGATTCTTAGATTTTAGATTGTTTGATTCTTTAGCACCACTTGTCAGTGCCCACACTGGTATGACTTGCCTCACGGCAAGCATCAAGCACCACTTTTACCTTCCTAAGCTCAACAGCTAGTTGAGCATCTTGTTGGAGCTTGCGATACCTGCCAATGCAATAAAGGAGGCAGCCATCAATATGGAGAGCTGCCAGTGTGAGACGTGCGCGTTGCGCCTTGGTATGAGGTCCACATTGATCACATGGGACCATGGAAAGTATCCGTGAATGGCATTGACTGATATTTCAGAGCATTGACAATGATTGACCCAGCTACTAACCTTGTCAAAATTGTTTGCTACCAGGACAAGTCGGTGTACCATATCGGACGTCTCTTTGATGACAACTGGCTCTCTCGTTATCTTTGACCAATGCGACTTGTTGCGGATCAAGGCAAATAGTTTAAAGGCGCATTTGGAACCATCCTTGAATACAACGGGATTGAATGGCAAGCCGCTTCGGCCAAGACGCCCACTGCTAATAGCATCTGCGAGCGCTGCCATCTTGTCATTGGGAATGTGCTTCATACGCTAGTACCTGCCCATCCTCCCCAAAGATGTTATGGAAGCTGACAATATAATCAAGCAATGCCTCATGACAGCAATGCACACAACGTGAGTTGCATCAAGTGGAGCTCTTGACAACCTCTCTCCCGGCACTGTCATCTTTCAACGCGACATGTTTCTGGATATACCGCTTGTTGCCAACATCCTCACTATCTCCGTTTAATGAGAAGCAATTGTCAATGAAAGTTTGCTTCAGGCAAACCACTTGCACTTGACTCATGACTTTAAAGTTGACGAGCGAGTCCTTAAAAAGGTCTACAACCCTACCAAGCTCAAGGAGTCCTTATTTAATGCAACAAGTCCATATTATAGAACTGTTACCATTTGCCTTTTGCCAATGATGACATTGATGACTGACCAAGTTAATATTTGATGAATCAAGCCATAAAGGCAAGACGTTTAAGGTTTGCGCAGCTCCCTTGTTTGATCTACCATGATTGAGCTAAATTACAGCACCCTGCAATGACAGGAAGGCCGCTGCCACTTATCTAACATGATTCACGTGCACCGGCCCTGCCTCAACGGCGAGCTGGACAGTCATTGGAGCGCCCGTTGGGTACTGGCGGTGAGGGCAATCCGGATGCAACATCTGCGAGCCTTGCCATGAAAAAGAGCAATGGATCGCCATGGCGGCAACTTGCCACCATAATTTCCATTTACATGTCATCCTATGATAGGTCAATGTATATAAATATATATATATATATTATCAACGGTTTAATGACTTTTGTACTTTGCTTGAGTAACCACAACCAGGCAATGGACTCACAGTGCACTTTGGGAGTCTTCAGAGCCAATTCAGAGAGCTTGCTAGACAACAACAAGGTCGGCAAGCTAACCAAAGGAATGGGAGGCAACCCGATCAACATCGGCATGTGGTCTGCCCGTTGTCGGTAGCTGTTCCCATTCTTCTCTCCCGCACCACTGATGACGTGACTATCGATCACAGTGTACTCATAAGGGTATCTTATGAGTGTCCCCAAGGCAGTCTCCTCGAAGCATCCGCCCTGAGCCGGATTATCCGCAGTCCCCCATGTATGTTGCCACATGGGTCACAATTTTATTACCTAAGCTAACAAAATACTTATCTCTCAACTGGCAAAATGGAAACTTAGGGAATCGAACCCTAGACCTTCCGCATGCGAAGCGGACGCTCTACCAACTGAGCTAAGCTCCCATGTACTCAGACACAGTGTGATCATTATATTGCAGAAATAGCTATTTATCCCCTAGAAATAGTGTCATGTTTGAAGCCTTGCATTCATTCGCCAAGGCCATTTCGTCCATAGGACATGACTGCAGATAACTTCTTACACTCTTTTATGAACAAAAGTTTCAAGAAAAAGTCCTAGAATGATAAAAATACCACCCCACCACACAGCTGTCCCATGGGCACGAGTGGTGACTGCCACTATTCTCAGCGCGTCATCATTCTACATTTACAGACTGCTTTCTCGACATGGCTATGATGGAACATTACGTTTACTATGGGAGGGTTCGCCATATCCCCTAGAATCGAGGGTGCCACATGAAGCCTTAGATGATGCCAGTAACAATGCCAGGACACTGCAAACCACGATCCGTGCGCTCGAAGTCGCCTTGGACAATGCACACTTGGCCGAAGAATCCAATTTTTCATCAATATTGATTGAGTGGCAGAAAAACGTTCAACCGATGACAGCTGACCTAAGACAGGAGTTGGCAGTGTTAAGTCATAACTTGGATCTATTGGCAGCAAGCGTTGACACTGTGCTATCGGATAATGATCTGGTGAAGCAACGAAAGAAGGATTTGTCGCTGAAAATAGTGAATATGATGGAGCGGGCAGATGCACTGATCTCATTTTACACCAAGGCCAGTGATCCAGTTGTATAAACTCTAAAACTTCTAAATTGAGGTGGTTGTCATTCTTAAAATACACACTAACCCTCCATTGCAACGTCCAGTTCCGACTCTGCCTGCTGTAAACTGTGTCCCCGACGTAAAGCACGATTGTACTCCTTACCCTCTGCCGAAAATGGAAATGCTCGCCGGTTTTCAATCGATTCTTGCTCATATCGGTTTGCAATTATATTTCGCTGCAAGCGAAACAGCCAAAATATGTCCAGTATATCCATGCTAGCTGTGACATTTTCTTGCTGATTCAAAACACACTTTCCGCTAATTTGATGGGCCGCATAATAAATGGCTTCGATTGTACTGACTGCACCGTCCCCCGCATTGTGCCATCGCCAGTAGAATGACTCAACGTGCGCTGGTAGTTCAAGCTTGATGCGAGGTACATCCGCCACTGCCTTGTGTAAAGGCAAAACCAAAGTTTTGCTAAATTTAGACCACTTGCAGTCCATGACAATGATACGCTTGATTGGTTTGCCACTTTTGATAACGGATGAAAGTGTTACTGCCGAGCTGTCAGGAAAGAGTAGGTAGGTGCCATCATGGTTGTCGTCGGCGTCGGTGGATGTGTAATCTGGAAGAGCTTTATCGTCCTCACATTTGGTGAGATCATATATTCTAAAGCTAGTTTCTTGACCTGCCGCTTTTAGTATGCTCGCCACTTGTACTCCGGTAGACGACGCTCGTCGATCGTCGAGCAAAATGTCAAGCTGAAAGGGGAGTCGGAGAGCTTGGGCAGCAACCGATGCTGGCCAAGTTTCTCGAGGCAACATGACGTCCAAGCAATCGTGACAGTAAATTGTCACGGATGCATGGCAACCAGGGCATCGTTGTCGAGAAAAGTGAGTGGAAACGGGTTCGGCAAGGTAGCTCGACAAACAATCCCATGCTGATTCGTCTTGATCATTGTGGTCTTGAGCCATTTGCTCGAAGTTTTGATGCCGCACTGAGAGAAGCTCTAGCGATATCGAATCAGAGACTGAAACGATAGGCGCGACGCGATTAATATTAATGGCAGGAAGTGCGACAGCTGGTTGAATGCATGATGGATGTATCGCTCGATCCAAATGCGACGAGATTTCGCATTCCAAGCGTCGCTTCGGTTCTCATGCGACACATGCGACACACATTGTTTCGACGACCACCACTCAAAAAATTCCGCACAATTGGACCATGTGCAAAGCGGGCAACTCCATCGTTTCTTCCTTGGTAGATGGACGAAGGTAAGAAAGAGACAACGAATACTAAGATAGAGAGAAGTCGTGAAGCTTGATCGAAATGAAGAGAGAATGAGATTTCGGATTCCCCTTCTTGACGCTTGTTTGTCCGAGCGATTGATGAATCCATCCTTTCAATATACTCTGATCGGTCAGCACGAACTTGAAAGCGGTCCATACACGCGAGAGAATGACGAAACTTTAATGTTACAGCTTGAGCGATTCGCCGTGATTGTATATTGTCATAGTTACACTGACTCTTGACGCGGACGAAAGAAGAAACTGTCAAGAGGACGACGCTGGTGCACAGCAACGAGCAACTTTGAAACTCACCGCATTGTCATTCTCTTATCACTTAGACAAGCATGGCAGAGAGTGCATACATACCGAGAATAAGAGGATTACAGGTAAGGTGATGAAGCAGAATAGCTACATTTCTTGCAGACACATCGAAGTGACGAGTTGTTGATTGCCGCCCCAGTCCGATTTTCTCTGACGATACTCTTTCAAACAGTTATTCAAACCGATCGATGGCACTTTATCAATGTAATGATCAATTCGTTTGTCCAGATGTCTCACTTATGTCATCTGTTTGCTGTTGCAGTGATCGTCCTGACGTCGCTGAAGAGGTAAGCTCTCGTACAGCGTTGTCAACATTTGCTGCAGGGTCTTTATGATGTAAACATACACCCAGCTCGCTACGAGAATCGACGTCCAAAATGGGCTGTCAACAAGGTTCGATGTAGAATACTGTTGTTCCTGTTATATTACTACTGATAAGAATGCTTTTTACTTGTCGTGCGTAATCATTTGTTTGCAAAATTCAAGCTCACACAACGTTGCGATTTACATCGACCTGGCCAGACGAACTATTTACGACCTCCGCCTCTTGCGCGTGGTACTAGCTCCAGGGATGCCGTCGGTCCCAGATTTAACGCGGCAAGCGTTGACCCGTCTTTTAAGAACGATCCAGTTGCTTGATTCTTCAGCTGGATTTTATTGGCCGGCATGTTGTTTAAATGCTTCTGGGAGAGCTCTTGCTTGACACTCTTGATTGTTGACATGACATTTGCAATCTGAGCTACAATTTGGCCGTAAAAGTTCCAAGCGATTTGGGTGGAGTCATTTGGAATGCGAATTTGCAGCGTGACGTCTGGCTTGTCCAACGATGCCACAAAGTCGGCTTCGGGAAGAAGCGGCTTCGCGTCTGATTCTATCGCTCCTGTCATGAGTGCAGTTCCTGCAGCAGCAAATGGGTCATCGGTTCCTGTTATCGACGTCTGACCATCAAAGCCGGGAGGCAGTGGAATAGTTGGTATGGTCGGTGCCTCGATATGCGTGACTTGTACCTTGGCACGCTTGGCGTCGGGCTCTGCTTCTCCAATGGTCGGACCGGGACGGGATGGGCCGGTTCTTGGTCGCTGCTGCTGCGGTAAAGCTGGGCCGACAGTGGCACCCTGACCTTGTGCGCGAAGGATACGGTTTGCTTCATCAAGTTTCTTCTTCGATTCGGCTTGGCTCAGAAAGTCTTGGTCCTGTAGAAGAAGGCGCCATTAGTATACAACCAATAAATAATTAGTGTACACTCAATACAGCCAGGAATGAGTATACTTACCCTCGATTCGCCTATGGCCTGCGTGAAGCGAGAGAGATTGGCCGCAACCACATCGCCCGAGACGAGATTGCTATCCTTTTGCTTCTCCTGGAACTTCTTCTTCTCTTCCGCCCATTTAGGATCAAGCAATTGAATACGCATGTGTTCAGACATGTCCTTGGCAGCGACAGCTTTGCCAGTGATAGGATCAATAACCATTGCAGCAGGTGCCGCCTGGGTCGCAATCTTTGGTTGATACGACGGTACCACTCGAATTTGTTCATCTTCGTCTTCTGAAACATCCATGCCCTCGTCAACAACCGCTGCATGTTGCGAAAGCACAGCAGGTGGCGGAGGTGGCATCATGTCCACAGTTTCATGTGCTCCAAAGTCAATTGTCTCGACAACAATGAAATCCTGCCAATCAATCATGGCACCAGCGTTCGGCGCATCTTCGTTACGAGCTCGCTCTTCCTCGTCCCGTTCAATCTCGGCCCAGTATGCAGCAGTTTCCAAACATTTGTCGACGTTGCCAGACAGATCCTTGACATAGTCCGTCGAGACTCCTGCTGGAGCAGTCCAGTTCGTGAGAATCGTTCGGTAGGCGTCCACAAGCGAGCTGAAGTACGCAAAGTGTCCATGACGAGGCTGTGCAAACGCAAAGCGCGGATTGTTCCATTCGCGGTGAATGAGTTGCGAAAGGAACGTCCCATTGCGTCCATCCAAGGCAGTAAATTGGGCAACGAGCTGTATCGCCTCAACCTCCGCAATCGATAGCGAGGCCGGGGCCACGATATTGATAAACTGCAGAGCAGGACGAGATATCGACGATGGCAGGTCTAGAACACCAGTTTCATCTTTAGTTTCTGGTCTTTCCTCAGCCGCGCGGCGCTGCTTGATTTTGGATCGTTGGTCGAGCAAGGCCTTGGCAATCGGATCAATGGCACTTGCGCGTTGCGTCTTTTCTTGCTTCTCAGTCTGGCGTACTTTCTCTTCGGCAAGTTCCAAATTTTTCTTTTCTTCTTCCTTCTTCTCTTCCTTCTCGTCTGTCCCACCACTCTCGTAGAACTTTACTTTTTCTTCGTAATACTCGTGAAATGGACTCGTCACCTGCAAAAAGGAAAACTTTGGCGTCTTGCCCTTATCGCTATTCAGAATCCTCGACTCAAATGCTCGTCCATTCTTAGCGACATACAAAGCTGTTCGGTCCGCCACAGCACGGATCTCTGGTGGTGGTTTGATGATTCCCTGGATCGCCATGATGAACATCGATTTGGAGCTGGGGAGCAAGTTTTAGTGGAGGCGCGCTCATGTAAATGTCGGAGCGGCAATGGAACCATCAACTTACTACTGCGGATTGCTCTCAATTGTAAGAAGGGGATTCGGAAACTTTTGACAATCATTGCTATACATTTTATCATAACTAAAGCTCATCATTGTCTGCCATCATGTCACCAAGGTCAAAGTTCA